TCAGATCCCAACTTGTACAACAGTGTACTTTGGTGAGTGTATTTATGATTTTTTAAATTTAAAATCAAGTTGGGATTTAATCGTCTTCATAGGGTTTATTTATTTTAAAGTTTAAGGGTTAATTTCACCCTGTTTGACGGGTCGGAAGGGATTTTCGCTGGTGAGTGTATTTATGATTTTTTAAATATAAAATCAAGTTGGAATTTAATCATCTTCATAGGGTAATTATTTAATTTTATGTTGAAGGGTTAATTTCACCCTGTTTGACGGGTTGGGAGAGATTTTCGCTTACAGTGTACTTTGATGAGTATATTTATGCTTTTTCTAATGTAAAACCAAGTTGGGATTTAATCGTCTTCATAAGGTAACTATTTATTTTAATGTCAAAGAGTTAATTTCGCCCTTTTTGACGGGTCGGAAGGGATTTTCGCTTACAGTGTACTTTAGTGAGTGTATTTATTATTTTTTTAATTTAAAATTAAGTTGGGATTTAATCGTCTTCATAAGGTAATTATTTATTTTAATGTTAAAGGGTTAATTTCACCCTGTTTGACGGGTCGGAAAAGATTTTCACTCACAGTATGCTTTGATGAGTATATTCATCCTTCATTTAATGTAAAACTGAGGTTGGGATCTAATCGTCTTCATTATGTAATTATTTATTTTGAAGTATAAGGGTTAATTTCACCCTGCTTGACGGGTTCGAAGAGATTTTTGCTTACAGTGTACTTTAGTGAGTGTATTTATTATTTTTTTAATTTAAAATTAAGTTGGGATTTAATCGTCTTCATAAGGTAATTATTTATTTTAATGTTAAAGGGTTAATTTCACCCTGTTTGACGGGTCGGAAAAGATTTTCACTCACAGTATGCTTTGATGAGTATATTCATTCTTCATTTAATGTAAAACTGAGGTTGGGATCTAATCGTCTTCATTATGTAATTATTTATTTTGAAGTATAAGGGTTAATTTCACCCTGCTTGACGGGTTCGAAGAGATTTTTGCTTACAGTGTACTTTGGTGAGTGTATTTATGATTTTTTAAATTTAAAATTAATTTGGGATTTAATCGTTTTCATAGGGTAATTATTTATTTTAATGTTGAAGTGTTAATTTCACCCTGTTTGACAGGTCGGAAGAGATTTTCACTCACAATGTACTTTAATGAGTATACATATTTTTTCTTTTTTTAATGTAAAACTAAGTTGGGATCTAATCGTCTTCATTATGTATTTATTTATTTTGAAGTGTAAGGGTTAATTTCACCCTGCTTGACAGATCGGTAGGGATTTTTACTAACATTATGCTTTGGTAAGTGTATTTTTAATCTTTTAAATTTAAAATAAAGTTGGAATTTATTCGTCTTCATAAGGTAATTATTTATTTTAATGTTAAAGGGTTAATTTCACCCTGTTTGACGGGTTGGAAGGAATTTTCGATTACAGTGTACTTTGGTGAGTGTATTTATTATTTTTTAAATTTAAAATTAAGTTGGGATTTAATCGTCTTCATAAGGTAATTATTTATTTTAAAGTTAAAGGGTTAATTTCACCCTGTTTGACGGGTCGGAAGAGATTTTTACTCACAGTATGCTTTGATGAGTATATTCATCCTTTTTTTAATGGAAAACTAAGGTTGGGATCTAATCGTCTTCGTTATGTAATTATTTATTTTGAAGTATAAGGGTTAATTTCACCCTGCTTGACGCGTTCGAAGAGATTTTTGCTTACAGTGTACTTTGGTGAGTGTATTTATGATTTTTTAAGTTTAAAATTAATTTGGGATTTAATCGTTTTCATAGGGTAATTATTTATTTTAATGTTGAAGTGTTAATTTCACCCTGTTTGACAGGTCGGAAGAGATTTTCACTCACAATGTACTTTAATGAGTATACATATTTTTTCTTTTTTTAATGTAAAACTAAGTTGGGATCTAATCGTCTTCATTATGTATTTATTTATTTATTTTGAAGTGTAAGGGTTAATTTCACCCTGCTTGATAGATCGGTAGGGATTTTTACTAACATTATGCTTTGGTAAGTGTATTTTTAATCTTTTAAATTTAAAATCAAGTTGGAATTTATTCGTCTTCATAAGGTAATTATTTATTTTAATGTTAAAGGGTTAATTTCACCCTGTTTGACGGGTTGGAAGGAATTTTCGCTTACAGTGTACTTTAGTGAGTGTATTTATTATTTTTTTAATTTAAAATTAAGTTGGGATTTAATCGTCTTCATAAGGTAATTATTTATTTTAATGTTAAAGGGTTAATTTCACCCTGTTTGACGGGTCGGAAAAGATTTTCACTCACAGTATGCTTTGATGAGTATATTCATCCTTTTTTTAATGTAAAACTAAGGTTGGGATCTAATCGTCTTCATTATGTAATTATTTATTTTGGAGTATAAGGGTTAATTTCACCCTGCTTGACGGGTTCGAAGAGATTTTTGCTTACAGTGTACTTTGGTGAGTGTATTTATGATTTTTTAAATTTAAAATTAATTTGGGATTTAATCGTTTTCATAGGGTAATTATTTATTTTAATGTTGAAGTGTTAATTTCACCCTGTTTGACAGGTCGGAAGAGATTTTCACTCACAATGTACTTTAATGAGTATACATATTTTTTCTTTTTTTAATGTAAAACTAAGTTGGGATCTAATCGTCTTCATTATGTATTTATTTATTTTGAAGTGTAAGGGTTAATTTCACCCTGCTTGACAGATCGGTAGGGATTTTTACTAACATTATGTTTTGGTAAGTGTATTTTTAATCTTTTAAATTTAAAATCAAGTTGGAATTTATTCGTCTTCATAAGGTAATTATTTATTTTAATGTTAAAGGGTTAATTTCACCCTGTTTGACGGGTTGGAAGGAATTTTCGCTTACAGTGTACTTTGGTGAGTGTATTTATTATTTTTTTAATTTAAAATTAAGTTGGGATTTAATCGTCTTCATTAAGTAATTATTTATTTTAAAGTTTAAGGGATAATTTCACCCTGTTTCACGGGTTTGAAGGGATTGTCTCATAGCGCATTTTAGTAAGTGTATTTGTGATTTTTAAAATGTAAAACCAAGTTGGGATCTAGTAGACTTCATAGGATTATTATTTATTTTGAAGGTTAAGGGTTAAATTCACCCTGTCTAATAAACTTTATTTTATGAATTTTATGCGGTAATTTTGCCCTGTTCAACGGACCCGAAGAAATGTTTACCTATAGTGTATTTATTTTTAAAATGTAAAATTAAATTGCGATCTGATTTCCTTCGTTGGATAAATATTTTTATCAATTTTAAGGATTATTTTCAACCGTATATTCATTATTTGTCGATATTAATGTGTAAAATATCTATTGACAAAATTATTAAAATAGTTGTATGCCGGACGCCACTGTTTTCCCGATCGGGTGTTTTCGGTTATTTTTACTGCTAAAAGTTACTGCTAACTTCACACCGGTAGAACTTAAGTGGTCTATTATTTTTTTATAATGATTTGTTACAGGAATAAAGTAAGAATATTTTCTGCTTGTAATCTGTATCTGTTTAGGTGGGTTCCCCACATTACATAGGCCTCAATAACCCCATTGTGGATCCTCCAAAGGCTGTCTTTCAGCTTGCATAAAGTCTGCTGTTACCTTGAGATGTATAGGGACTACCTCTCAGATCGTCAAAAGACCTGCAACTGTGAATAATAGAAGAGCTAGTTTTTCCAAAGTTGTTATACATTTGCTATGAAAGTGCTTACGTTTAATTTTTCAAAGCTATATGGATATTTACATAAATTTTTTCAATTATAAATACGTATTCAACTGTAATCAAACTAAATATCCATGGAGGTAGAAGGTAGGAAGACGCTGTCACGTGATCCAAGACGGATTCACTTCCGCCATATTGTGTTCACGAATCCTTGAAACAACTATTCGTGATTTTAATCAACATTTTTTCTATTTTTATGTAAATATATTGCACATATTAAAAGTTAAAAAATAGTTGCTTGTGTTCAGCGTATTTGTAGCAACCTAATAGATGTTCATACTACTTACACTGAAGTGTATATCGGAAAATTACATAAGAATGCTGTGGCAAATTTCGGTGAACTTGAACCAACGAATTGGGTACACTTTCGATAACCGGCTTAGCACAAACGGACTGGTCAGAGTCGTTTTGGTTTTATTTGAGATTTATATGAGGGAAGAAATATATTAAATTAGGCTTCAATATTTTGATGGATTTTTTACTCTAAAGGTTCCAGAGTTCCAAATTGTTTTTTGTAAATGAATGAGAAAACGGATCTACTGATTTTCTTTAAATTTACCAAAAAAAAATTTAAATTTTTTACTTTCCAGTTATCAGTAAGGAAAGTAGAGGAATCATTCGTCTGATCATTTCGTTTTGGAGTCCTCCAAATCCGTTTTGACAATTTTCGCGGTAATGTTTTGGATAAAGAGCTAATTCGATTTTGGGCATAGTTGAAGTATGGAGGTACTTTATAGAGGCTCGATTTTTTTACTTTAAGTTATATTTCTGTTATTTGAAGAAAATCATCGAATTAAAGTTGTTTGTGATGTATTTCTCTATCATTTTTGTCAAATGCAAATCTTTAAAACGAAATCGAGAAATACGAGTAAAAGTAAAAAATTATAATTTTCTCAATATTTTTGTTGGCAATAAAGATACGAAAAAATGTTTCGAATAAAATATTTATAGAAAATGTTCACTTTTAATTCATTTTCCAAACACTTGATTGTCTAGGTCAAATTAGATAATAGAAAATAATAAATATTTTACGAATTGGTCACATTTTAGTTGGAATTATTTTCTATTTTTAATAAATTAACGTTGTATTACATACAACTTGGTGTGTTCATCTTATTGATCATAAAAGATTGGAGCAAAATAAGGTTTAAATAAAACAATTTATATTAAAGAAAATACATTTAATAATACGCTTCCTATTGATGTCTCCAAATAATCAATTTTGCTTTTTTCTTACGTAAACTTACATTTGTATTAAAATTTCGGTTTGCATATTTTAATGCATAATAGATTCGTAATCTACCATATAAATTAATTAAATACAATTGCGTTGTACATTGCTACAAGGTGTGTACGAAGTGTGTCAGGTGTACAGTACAAAAAGTGGTTCAGTTTTAACGATAAATATTTCAATTTATTTATTTCAATTTATTTCAATAACGTGAGAATTCACTTTGTCATAGATAATCTATTAATTGAATGGACGATACGCAGCCCGATATTAATAATAGAGAGACCAGTGTATCTCAAATTCCGGTAATAAGCTCTGAAACATTTGATTTAAATAATAGATACCAACAATGGACATTTTTTGCAGGAGGTTGTAGAATTTAAGAAAAATGTAATTGATTTAAAACCAGTAGGTGTCAATAGAGTTAAGGTAATTTTCAAATCATATGATATTGCTAATTCGCTTGTAAACCATGCTGTAATCATAAAAAACAATTTACTAGCTTATATTCCACAATTTTTGAAACGTCTAACACGTAAAATAACCGATAGTAAAACAAAAGAAATTAAATACGTAGATAGGCAAATGATAATCGTGACATTTTTGGGAAATACAATTCCAGATTGTATTAAAATTACTATGGTAAACTTTTATGTTGAACCATATATACATCCCGTAGTACAGTGCTTTAATTGTTTGCGTTACGGTTACACACAAAAGCAGTGTAAGAGTAAAAAAAATGCCAGAATTGTTCCGATGAGTATTGTTCATTGGATCCTTGCGGTGAAAACAGAAAGAGATGCAGTCACTGCGATAGTATCGATCACAATTCGACTTCATTAAAGTGTCCAATTTATAATAAACAATTTGAAATTAAAAAGGTTATGGCTTTAGAGAATGCGTCTTTCAAAGAAGCAGAACTGATGGTTAATAATCCCGCATATGCAAAATTAACACCAACAATCGATTTGCATTACTAGCTAATCCAACTAATTTTCCGGATCTACCAACTCCAACAGCTCCTCACAGCTCCATTTTAAGAAAACCGAAACCACCGTCATCCCCAAAAATTTCTAATACCTTGGCAAAAAAACGTAAAAAGTCCTCACCACCCCCTCACCTACAGTCATTAATGAGAAAAAATCTAAATCTGGTAGAGAGAGAGAGAGATATGCTTTATTGTCGTAAAAAAATTTACAAAAATTTTATAGACAAAGCGTGTAACTTAAATACTAAACATATTATAAAAATAACTAAACAGCAGAAAAAACAAACAGAAACAAACAGACAAAATAGGAATAACAATTGCAATGGATATGCAATATCCGTCATTATAATTATTCTAGTTTAATTTTTAAATTTAAATTTAAATTTAAATTTAAACTTTAATATTTAATTATTTAATTAATGCCATTGTATGTGGAACTCAAATGTCTAAGGTACGTTATAAAATTCTGCTACTGTGTAATATGGTCTTTCTAGAAGAAAATCTTTAGCCAGTCTTCGGAACTTATCGTATGTATTTATAGATTTTAATTGCATCGGAAGGTTATTATACAATTTTTTGGCATTGTAGGTAATGGAATGTTTTAATAGGTCAGAAGTGGGCATTGTTAAATAAACATCAGTCTCTAAATTTCTTGTAGGATATCTACGAGTCGGTCTTTCGGATAAATTTTGAATGTGCTTGCGAACTAAGCAGACGGATTCGAAAATAAATAGAGCAGGAAGGGTTAGAATTTTGAAATTTTTGAAGTAATTTTCGCAATGTGTCCTACTACTTAAACCAAATACATAGCGGATTGCTCTTTTTTGCAGTTTAAAAATAGATTCGAAAAGGCATAAGCTACAAGAACCCCAGAAAGGTAAACCATAGCGAAGGTGAGATTCGAATAAGGAAAAGTAGGTTATTAATGCAGTAGAAGGAGTCAGCTCTTTAGAAACCGATTTAATGGCAAAATATGCGGAGGATAATTTTTTTGCTAAGGTATCTATATGAGCAGACCATTTTAGAGAATCGTCTATATAAAGACCTAAAAACTTGATTGAAGTCACCGTTTGGATCAGATTATTGTTTAAAGTTATAGGTTGTAAAGTACCTCTGTAAGACAATGCTACAGTTTTACTGGTGTTGAAACAAAGTCCATTCGAATCAGACCAGGACTTAATAGTCACTAGATCTTCACTTATGATAGATTGTAATGTCTGCATGTTAGAATTATTCCAGGTTACACTGGTGTCATCAGCAAATAAAGTAATTCTACCACTTATTCTTAAGTCTGTGATGTCGTTGATGAATAATAAAAACAAAATTGGACCTAATACTGATCCTTGAGGTACTCCACTGCTTATTGCTAGATTTGTAGAATCCTCACCATTCGCCCGCACCTGTTGATTTCTATTTTCTAGGTAAGTTTTAAACCATTGTAAAGGAGAACCCCGTATGCCATAAATTTGTAACTTATTAATTAAAATATCATGATTTACACAATCGAAGGCCTTTGCAAAGTCACAAAATACTGAAGCGGTGAAAAGTTTATCATTAAGTGATGTGTATATTTCATTAAGAACGGAAAACATTGCGTCGCTAGTGCATTTTTTAGGTAGAAAGCCATACTGATGAGCTGTGAGGATGTTATGCTTGAAAAGAAAGGGCAAAAGACGGTTTTTCATTAGCCGTTCTACTATCTTCGATAAGGTAGGCAATAACGCGATAGGTCTATAGTTACAGGTTTTGGTTTTGTCGCCACCTTTATGAAGTGGGATTATTATAGCTGTTTTTAGACAGTTAGGAAAGAGACCAATTTCAAAGGATTCATTAATCAGTGAAGTTAAAATGTTGATTACTACATCCGGTATATTTAGAAATATTTTGGTGGACAGGCCATCAATTCCACAGGAAAATTTATTTTGGATGTTGTTTATGGTTTGCACTAGTTCATGCTTGTCTACTGGTCTTAGGAAGAAACTTTCAGTGATCCTTTTAGTAGGTAGGAGGAAGGAGAGAGCATCCTGAGTCGGAGCTATGTTAGATTTGATATTTTTACTTACATTTACGAAATAATTGTTTAGTTCATCTGGGCTAGGATTTACACTGTTTGAAGAACGGGTTTTATTCCTTAAGTCATTTATTATAGACCAGGTTTCTTTGGAGGAGTTTTTAGCTCTTGCGATGCGATTTTTGTAATAGTTTTTCTTAGCAGACTTGGTGATTTTCCGATACAATATTCTGTAGTTGTTGATATAGTTTAATATTAGGGGATTATCTGTGTACTTTTTAATATACATGAGTGACCTCATATTTTTAGATGATGTTCTTATTCCTTTAGTTGTCCAAGATTTATGACATTTAGCTTTAACGGGGCGAAGGGGGAAAGCTGTATTGAAACACATAATTATTTTATTTAAGAAGTCTAAAAATTTAGAGTCAATATCTTCAGAAAGACCATTTCAATCAGTAGTTAGACATAAATTATAGAAATTTTTGAAATTATGCTTAGAGAAAATTCTACCTAGCTGACGGACTTTTTTTGGAGCTGTTGTTTCTGTGATTCTAGTTGGAGAATTTACGTGCATAGTGAGACTGAATGATTCAAAAATATTGATTAAAGACTTTTGAGTAGCACATACATTAGCAAAGTCAATATTAAAATCGCCGCATAAAATTTTCTTACTTTTTATAGGCAATGCGTCAAGTAGATTAAGAAGATTCTCTAGAAAGAGGTGAACATTTGATTTAGGTGTTCTATAAATACAAATAATAAACAAATCAATGTTTTTGTTGTTTACAATGGAAAATTCGAAGAAATTTTCAGCTTGTAGAAAGTCGTATTTAGATACAGCAGAAAAGTCCTTGTCTAAGGATAAAATTAGAGTTCCACCATGGTCTGTATTACTTCTATCATATCTGCTGACGATAGTATATTTTTCGACAAAAACTGGTTCACCAACTTGTAACCAGTGTTCTGTAATAGCAACTATTTGGGGAAACCCTAACTCTTCCAAAAACAAAAACAATTCATCAGTCTTATTCCGTATTGATCGAATATTAATTAGAACCATTCTTAATTTACTGTCGGCATAGCCAGTAGTTGGGGATTCTAGTAGTACCTCGATCCTTCCGAATCCATTCAGAGATAATTTTCAATTATATGAAGAACAAATATTATTTCAAATAGAAAAGTTGGTTGGTGATATTTTGTGCAATAAAATTAAAATAGATCAAAATGATTTTAGATTAGAAATTTAGTTAGTAGAATGTTTGATAATCCTGAAAATAAAGAAAATTATAATGAATATATAGATACGGATACTGACGAAGGCGATGACTACAAAACATATTAAAAATTCAAATAATTTTAGAAACTCGATAACTATATTACAATGGAACAGTAGATCAATTTTAAAAAATAAAGCGAGCCTTATTAATTTTATAAACAATCATCAAGTAGACATTATCATAATTGCGGAACTTTGGCTAAAACCCGGCAATAAATTCTATTTAACAGGTTTTAATCTTGTAAAAAAATGCAGAAATGATTGGTATTTTTGTTTTTCAGGCACTAGATTATACAGAAATGAAGCCATCTCTAAATTATAATAGTGATATAGAAATGTGTGCAATCTCTCTCAGTTCAATAAATACATGCTTTGTATCAGTTTATAGACCATCAAACCTGGCGGTCAATCAAACAGTTTTGATAAATTTATTCGATCAGTTTGATATGCCCACTATCTTTTGTGTATATTTCAATGCTCATCATGGCATGTGGGGTCCCATCACAGATGATTTAAGTGGAAAAATCTTGGTAGAAGCCATAGAACATCTCGATTTAATTGTACTTAACGATGGTACTCCTACTAGATTTAATCCAAATGGGAATCACTCAGCATTAGACTTAACCTTCACTTCTCACGGAATAGAGGATAGAATAAACCGGTCAGTTTTACCAGACACCATGGGATCCGATCACTATCCGATAATTATGGAATTTCAAATTAACCCTTCCATATTCTTAATCAATCCGTCTACTAAATGGAAC